CTATGTGAGCAGACCTTCATTTTCGCTGTTTAATAACTCTAGGTTAGAGTCTCTTTGTGTTTTTGTCAATCTGTTAGTACATTCTTTAAGGCCTTTGCTGCCTCTCCAGAATGACAGACAAGAAGGCAAACTTCTTCTGAATAAGCCAATCAGGTCGACTTCCCCCTTTATTGATCACTCTCTGTCACAGTCCAGTTTAAGCTCACAGAGGTGAAACTGTTTGACTAATCATATCATGAAACCTACAGGGTACACGTTTGTGTTGATTTCACATTAAAAGGAAACATCTATTACATGTTCTACGGTAATATCCTAACGACACCTCAGAGACATTCAAGACTTTCTTCCTCTCCTTTTCCAGCCCCCGCACACAGACGTACTTCCTTTTTTGATCATGGTTACACAAACACAGGCTGTGTCCGAAATGGCCTACTACTCCTACTACTCCTACTAAACCCGCCTCTGAATTGAGTAGGCAGTGCGTTCACACTGTACAGTATGCGAATTTTGTGTATGCGAGAAATGCCCGGATGTATACTCAATCGGCTTCGATTTCTGAGTGTGGAACGGAGCTTGCTTCACGTACTGCTTCTGCCCCACAATGCATTGCGCACCTCAGCTGGTAATATGGCCCTCCTTCCCGAGGCTGAAAAGAAATAGATGGCCCGTGATTGCGATAATATATATATATAGATAAACAATATTTTGTCAGGATACATTACACAATTTTTATCATTTTATCATATTTTGATCTTTTTACCAGATTTATTTGTATTTTAAATTAGGATTATAAGTAATGTTTTTAACTATTCGTATAAATTGACTTTATTTATTTTAGTGTCTATTAAAGATGTATTTATTACATCAAGTTTGAGCATCTTCTCATCTCTGAATGCATCATCAAAGTGGTCGCTCATATTAAGCACAGACCTCTGATTAATAAAAATTATCTTTGGTAGAGAGCACATGGTTCAGAATATACAAACGGGGGAGTTTCCAGTTGACAATGTATGTGAGCTTTACTAATTCTTACTTGTGGTTGAAAATCTGATGGTTTCTGAAATGATCATTGTACATGAAAAGGATGTAGTCGGGAAATTATGAATTTGCCAAGGAATAACCGAACGAGGTCATAATAATTATGTTGTGTGTTGGTCATTTTGCAGCCCTCTGCTGCTCATCACACGCCTAGCAGGTGGTGTATAGCATTATCACCATGGATACACGGATGTTTGTGTGATTTTTTTCATCCACTGCCGCCCGGTTTGTGTCGTGTAGATGGTAATGATGAAAACACTTTGCAATAATTTGGAAACGTGAAGGGGGAGCTGCTGCTGCCCGGTGTTTACGGTAAATAGACGCCAACACCCACCAAGCGGACGCTTCGGTCTCCGAAAACGCCGAGACAAATTTACAAACAGCCACTATTTCAAACAACTGGGCTCATAATCGTGATGTAAACACTTACTTTCTCGCTAGAAAAATATTATTATTGAATGAATTTATGTAATTTGTCCGGAATGCAGTCGTTCTGTGTTGCTTGTGGTAGGACTATTTAAATTTTCCCGGCGCTGCGTCCGCACACACATAGTATGTATGTGTGTAAACGCTCGGGCAGCCGCGGCATACTCAAATCAGCTTTGAGTAGTCAGTAGGCAGTAGCTACTGCTTGAGTAGGTAAGTAGATAGTTGGCAGTATGCCATTTCGGACACAGCCACACTCTCAGCTTCCCTCTTTCTCTGTTTGCAGTCTGCTTGCTGAGTAATCCTTTGGCACATATAGTGAGCCTGCTTCACTGATGCCATCTAGTGGCTACATGCACTAAAAGCTACTCACTCGCCACAGAAGAGGATTTCATTCACAAAACAAGAACCTTTTTTTGGCCTCACAGACTTCCTGGAAATGTGTTCACTCTCACAGTTTGCTCATGTGTGCCATTCCAGTGTGGGACGCTGCCATAAAATAGAATGAAGCGATTTTTTACACAGGCATAGTCACATAAAGAAAGGTCAAAGGTCATTTAGGAGGCTGTGTTGTTTTTTTCCTCTGATTTCTGACTTTTCCCTCAGAATTCTACAAAACTGTAAGAGAAAGTTGGAATTTTTAAGAAAAAGTTTTTAAATATTTTGGAATCTGAGAAAAAAATTCTCAAGTTAAAGGAAAAAAAATCAGATTTTTACAGTCTCACTTCAGTAAGAGCTCTGATAAAAATAAACTGAAGTTGTAATCCTGAGAAAAAAAAGTCAGACTTCCATCTTTAAAGTTGAAATTCTTAAAGAATTGACGTAGAAACTGCAGCCTTCTCGTCAGACTTTAATCCTGGGTGTAATCCCCTATCATCTGATTTTAACGGCAAACAGTCTTTCACACACCAATCTAGTCTCTAACATACACAGTCATAATCTCTCACAAACACGACAACCAAACATAATGAGTGTAAGTGAGATTATAAGTGGATAGTGTTACTGTATCAGGTAAATAAAGAAAAAAGTCCAGAGGAAAACTCCATTAACAAATCAATAATTAAAGATTAAAAAGCTGTTTTTATTTTATCCCTTTTAATATTTACCTAAATCTGTTTTTTTTTCAGGAAATATTTATTCAAGTCTCTTTCATTTCTTTTAAAATGTTTTCCAGTCCCAAACCTTTCATTTCAAAGATGTGACAGTGGCACCATCTCGTGTTCATGAAAATAAATTGCACAAACTGCATGGGAAATTTCAACTTGTGTTGTTGTAGTGCCCCCAGTGGACAAAGCACTTTGACAGTTTTTTTTTTTTTGTAAATAATTTTGTTCAAATTGTAAAAACAAAACCAGGGCTGATTCTCAATCTGTTGGCTGAAACCTACCTTCAAGTACTTTAAAACGGTTTTTAATCAAGTCAAGAGGTTCTGGATTTCATTCTAAAGTATCAATATGAAATTTAGGCTAAAAAATAATAATAAATCACGTTTGCTGTATAATTTTCCTTTTTTCCCCCCCAAAATAAAACAAATATTTTCCATTTAAGAATTCTTCACCCTGGTGCTTTCATCAGGCTTTGTGCCAGAAAGAACTTTTAAGTGTTTGCATATCATTTTAAAATAAATAAAAAAATAAAAGATTTGAAGGAGAGTTTATTTGCAAATTAGGGAAAAAATGAAAATCAAATAAGCTTTAAATAAAAACAATAATTAAATGCCTGAAGCTGCTAAATTTTTTTAATTTTTTTACTCTTTTATGGGTTGTTTATAAAACAATCTTAATCTATTTTAAAATTCAGTTTTTTTTAAGGAACTCAGAAAGAGGAATAAAGAGCTGTACAGACATTTTCACTTTGTAAAGTGAAGTTTCTTAATGTTCTAGGTGAGTTTATCATCACTGGCTTATTTGCAAAGAAGGAAAAAAAATGAAAATCAAATTAGATTGTAATAATAATAATTATTATTATTATTATCATTATTATTATTATTATTATTTTGTTATTGATATTATTATTATTATGGTTGAAAGCTGCTACGTTTTTGTACGTTTTTTTTTTTTTTTTTTTAATCATCGGGTTTTTTTATGAAACAATTTAGATTTTTTTCTTTTGTTTGTAGGAGTTTTTAACTTTAGGTTTTTTAGAGGAACTCATAAAGAGGAACAAAGAGCTGCACAGACATTTTCATTATGAAACGTAAAGTTTCTTAATGTATTAGTTGAGTTTATTGTCACTGGCTGTATTTAAAACCGCCCACAGTCCTTGTAGTACGGACTGTTCTGGTCTAATGTGGTAGGTATCCTGGTTTGACTGCCTTTGCTGTCTTACATGTAGGAGGAGTAGGCGGATTTACTGTTGCGATAACATAAACTAATGAGGGCAAAGTTCTTTGTTTGCAAAGGGAATACGCTGTTCCTGTAGATTACCAAGAAAGAGAAAAAAACATTGGCCTACGTTTCACTTCTCATTAAGTAAACAGACCACCGCTGCTGCTGGTGAAGATCACTCACTATCACACACTAATGTTTCGAAAGTCTCAACAAACCAAAGAAAAAACCCACAGAGTCGAGATCACAGGATAGCAGATGACTAAGAACTGACGACGACATTTTAGTCCTGAGACCTGAATCCAATCCTGCAGAGTTACAGCTCACGAGTTTCTGAACCAGCTTTGTAAACACAAAACACACAAACAGCGACCGTCTTCAACAGAGAGTAAAAGTATTTTCACAAAGTTCTCTCTCACCAGCTTTGGGATCCGCAGCGTTGAAGAGGAGCTTATATAAACTGGGATCAGATGTTGTTGACAGCAGCAGAAGTATGCAGGGAGGAGGAGCAGGAGGAGGAGGAGCTTTGGCATGAGAAAGGGGAAAGTTTTTCCTTTTGGCACAATCTCACATCTCTATGTGGGAAACTTCCAACAGATTTAGAGGAAGCCGGAAGTGCCGCTGCAACGTTACTGTTTTTTGCACCAGTTAAGATAAACATCGTAATGAAAACATCAAGACATTTTATTTTTAGCACTGGTTTAAACCATAGACTGTATGTGGACAACTTGGTTCAGATTTGAAGCCGAAAAGCTCTTGGGGAATTTCGCCCTTTCTCTCCATTTCCTGAAACCGACATTGCGCAGTAGCGTTGTGCGCATTCAGCGGGAGAGTCGAGAGTCGCTGTGATGACGCTCGGCTCAATCAGCACAGTATATACAGTCTATGAGTGCGATATTATTTTATGAAGGATGGTAGTGGAAAGTCTTCGCCGCTGATTGGCTAGAATAGCCGGAAACGTCATCACACGCCCAAGCCAAAAGTGTGCTGTCGGCTCTGTACATAAAACAGAACATTACAGAACATTATCGCACTTCTGAATCTCCTAACTCGAACCCGAACACTAACCCTAACCTGACAGACAATGACATTTCACAGCCATAAGGAATAACCAATCGGAGCCCAGCACTTCTAGCCAATCAGAGGTGAAGGAGGGCGGGACTTTCCTCCACCATCCTGCAAAAAAAATATCACCCCCGTGTGAGTTACACAATCCTTGTACGCCCACAGGCTGAATCAGGTTCGAATCATAGAAAACATAAACCCTCCAATAACTTTTAAAAACTTTTAAATCGATTTCATATGATTTTTAGCTTTTTACTATTAATTTTTGCCTCATTGTATTTTTGTTGTTTTTAACTTTCTGTAAAGTGTCTTTGAGCTCCTGTAAAAAGTGCTATACAAATAAAATGTATTATTATTATTATTATTATCAAAAACGGAGCTGTACAGAAAGAAAGAGGACTTGAGCACAACTTGGTTCCGCCTTCTGCCAGTATACGGATTTAAAGCCCAAAAACTCTTGGCGTTTCCGCGTTGTTCTCTATTTCCTGAAACCAACTTTGGACAGTAGCGTTGTGCGCATTCGGCGGGAGAGTTGTTGTGGTGCGCTACGCAATATCTGTCCTCCCATAGGCTGTATCAGGTGTCAATCATAGAAAACATGAACCCCCTAATAACTTTTAAAAATGGAGCTGTACAGAAAAAAGAGGACTTGAGCACAAACCAGTCTGACAGTAACTACATGTCAACATCACAACCAGGGGGGAGAAACATTTATATTCTGTGTCATTCATTTATAAAGTTTGTCCACAGCTCCATAAGGAGGCGGGGTTTATGACCTGTACTGCAGCCCGTCACCAGAGGGCGCTGTTCTCAGAGTGGCTTCACCCAGAGAGGAGGCAGACAGTGTCCATTTTAGATACAGTCTATGGTTTAAATAAATCACCATGTATCCAAACAAACCAAATGAATTTCAGCGTTTACACCATCAGCTGTCACAGCACTCAATATGCTTTTATAATATCAATGTTACAGTGCTGTTTTACTTCATGATTATGACCGGTTTCTGCACATAATTTCACTTCACAGCTCTTCCACCTCTCTGACTTCTTTTTTTTGACATGCAGCCAAACTGAACTTTGCTCCTGTGGCATGGAAAAAAACAGTATTGCAGGAACCATCATGCAATGTCGTGTTCTTGTGGAACACACCTGAGTCCACACAGACTTCGACAGCTGTCTACATTTATTTGACAATAAAACAAAACAAAAGACAGTGACATACAAAGAGTATCCACATTTTAGTAGCAGAGGAAAGGCACCGTGACTATTGTCTGCATTTTCTGTTTTGACTTAAAGAGTCTTGTAACAGACTGGATTTCTTGTTAGAAACGTCCTCTTCATTTAAGGAAGGTACTGGGTTTTCCGCAATGTCCCTGAAAGCATCAGTGTATTCGTGTATGTACTCGCTCGATTCACGCGAAAAGTTCGTGCAATCCACGCCGCCCGAGTAAAATGCGCGTCTAATCGCGTCTCTGCATTGACTTTACATGTTATTCCACCGTGAGAATGATTGTACTCGGTTTTTAGGTGTGAAGACAATGCTTTCACTGACAGTAAGGAGAACTCAGAACTGTCCTTAACTAGAAAGAACATCTGGAACAAGACATCTAGAGTACAGTATTAAAATACATACAAACAAAAAACACTGTAACCATCTCAGCCATCCTGCAATGTCAGCGAAAATAATTTTGAGTCGACAGAGACTAAAAATTTAAAAAATGGGTCAGCAACATTTAACCCACTTAATAAACTGCATGCACTTTAGAGACAGTCCCTAAACTCCGCCTGTCGTTTCCTGGTTTTCGGACCTCTGAACTTCAGCTCCAACTCCCGGAAATAACCGTCTTGTCTTTGCCCAGGCAGGTAGATGACACCACCAAACACTAGATCTTCTTCTCACAGGTGTGTATGTGTCTTTATTACTTTAAATTATCATCATAAAAAGTGGCTCCTATTCTCACCTTCAGCCTAAAACATACAGGATCCGTGTTGAGCGCGTTCCGTCTGTGTCGCGTATCTTCTCCGTCGAGCAGCGCTGTCTGTCGGCCGTTTGGATATAATTCAGTGACTCTTGAGCTTCTACTGTATGTGAAAAAGCTTTCAGAGATTTTATAGTTTGGGTGTTTGCAGGTTTTCTTCGTGCTTGAGATCCTGTCCGGAACCATCTCCCCTCCGTAGTTTGACACGTGTTATTATCGTACTTTCACTTTTAATGGCAGCGTGAATTTTGTGTTAAACACCTGAAAACACAAGAGTGGGAAAGCAGAAGATTCTCTGGTTCTTAGAGCTTACCTTTACAGATTCAAAGGGTGCTTTTATTACCACTCCATCACGATGCATGCTGACACAGCTTTGGCCAAAAACCTGTTTGTTCTTGTAAATTCACGACAGAGTTGTGCGCGCGATTTTGAGGGTTTTCCGGGTTGGGTGGAGTGTTTTTACGCGCTTCTTATTCAGTTTAACGCATATTCTGAATTCCCAAAAAAGACACTTAACCAGGCTTCTTAGAGATACTGAAAATATTCACACAAACTTGCGTTTATAGACAGTAAATTCATTTATCTAAAGTCTTTCTCCTCAACGAAACTATCAGTCACATGCAAATATTTCTCCCTTTTCTTTGGCTCACCGGCAGACATGTGAGGGTGGAGTCAGCCGGTCCGTTTATATGACACTCGAGAAAACTGAATTATTGCCTCACTCTGATTAAGACTGGACAACTGAAGTGCATGTGAACCAGGGCCCGACCGATATGGATATTTTGGGGCTGATGCCGATACCGATTATTAGGGGAGAAAAAAATCCAATTACCGATTAATCGTCCAATTTTTAAAATTTTTTCTGAAGTTATAAAAAATATATATATACTGAGGATATCTACGGTATACTTTATACTGTAGGCTACTGCTCTTCACGCCGACAGGAAGACTGACTGATCAAACTCGGACCAGAAAAGCTTTTTTAACTCCCCCCCGGGCCCTAATGTAAAAACCTTAGTCCAACTAGAATAGGAGTACGAGAACTCTGATTATAGTCCGATGAAGACACCCAGATAATGCGAGTGGAATCAGATTTTCTCTACAATCTAACCAGCGTATACCAGAGTATAATTGGACATTGCATGTGTACGTGCGCCACGCCCCCGTAACCCCGTAACAAAACCCCAGAGTAGAGGAGTAGCGTTGGTCTCATCTTTAGAAAAAGTAGCGCGTCCATCATGTAGGACAAAAACAACGCTGTACGATGCTCCATCTTCTTGTTTCTCCAAAATGCCCAGCAGCAGTTGTAGACCTTTCTGACGTCTGACACCGACCTGCTGTTGAAACAGCGCCGCTGAAAAGACCCATATCGCCCCCTAGTGTTGGGGAGGAGGACATGTTCACGTCAATAATTTAATTTTCTCAGCTGCGTGTAAACGAGGACAAGGAGAGAAGTCTGATTCAGAGAAAAAGACGATTTATGAGCTTAGTCCGATTAAACTGTGACTGTAAACACACTGAGTGGCTTTGCTTAGAGCTGAGCTGGGGGGCAGAGCAGCAGAGAGCGCTGATGCTGATGCTGATGCTGTGCACTGATTTATAATACATAAATACATGTTCTGGGGTTCAGCGTGGATCTCTGCCTCTCAGAGTGTGTTTCCACATGAACCGTTGAATGTGTATGGTAACACATTTTCAAATATCGATCAACAAAGAGGCTCGATCCTTTGACTCTAATGTTCGTCTTAAACTACTAAAACAAAAGTTTTCCATTTTAAGGAGGATGTCACCTGTATTTTCCGGTTAGCCACAGTGGCAGCTGACTGATTTTTACTTCCAAGATGATAAAGTTACTTATGTGTGTTATTTAAAATTTTCCTGACCAACAACTTTTATGTTTAGACAGGAATGAACTTCACCTGAGGGACAACGAACACTGAGAAAGACCGGGTTCTTAGGGTGGCAGATCAGCAGTCATGGAAGAACATCAAATCATGGAGAGTGTTAAACAGGAGCTCAAAGTCCACTTGAGGGAAAAGTTTACCTTCAGTAATGAGGGAGCATCCACCGCTCACTCTCAGCTGGAGAACATCGACACTAGACTCCTCATCGCTGGAGAAAAGGGGGATCATGACAGCCAAGTCCATGAGATTCTGGATCACTTCAAACTCCCAGATAAGGGATCACCACCTTCAGACTACGCAGAGATAAGCTGCTTTGACATCTTCAAACCTGGAGGAAACGTTTCCCAACAACAACCGACAAAAGACGGCACGATCCGAAGAGTGATGATGAAAGGAATGGCCGGTATCGGAAAGACAGTCGCGGTTCAAAACTTCTCCCTGAACTGGGCCGAGGGGGAATCCAACCAGCACATCGATTTCATCTTTGTGCTTCCTTTCAAAGAGCTAAACATGCTCAAAGAAGGTGAATACACCCTGCTGCAGCTTCTCGTACCCTTGTACCCTGAACTCAGACACGTCAGGAATACAGAGCAGCTTTTTACAGAGCAGGTGCTGTTGATCTTTGACGGTCTGGATGAATGTAGATTTCCCCTGGACTTCGACGGGGGCGCGAGAATGATCGAACCAGACGGAGCAGCGACGGTGGATGTGTTGCTGACAAACCTCATCAAAGGGGACCTGCTGCCCGGCGCCCTTCTCTGGATCACTTCCCGCCCTGCAGCAGTCGGTCAGATTCCCTCTAAATATATTGACCAAGTGACAGAAGTCCAAGGGTTTACCGACCAACAGAGGGACGAGTACTTCGTGAAGCAGTTCAGCGCCGCCGATCAGGCCAACGAAGCTCTGTCCTGTCTCAAAGAGATGGTAAGCTTCTGTTTCACGGGCCATGTCCCAATGTTTTGTTGGATTCTAGCTGAGGTGCTCAAGAAAGGATGGGACGACCAGAGAAGCCGACGTATCACAACAATGACAGAGTTGTACATTTATTATCTCGTCATTCAAACCCAAAGATCAGAACAGAGTGAGAAGGCTCAGAAGAAGAAGTCAGCAGGAGATACATCCATGATTTTCAACCTGTCCAAGTTGGCATTTGAGCAGCTTCAGAAAGGAAACATCATTTTCTACGAAGAAGACCTGAGAGAATGTGGCATTGACAGTGACGGATTCTGCTCAGAGATCCTGAAGGAAGAATGCGTCCTGTACAAGAAAAAGATGTTCGGCTTCGTGCATTTTAGCTTCCAGGAGTTTCTTGCTGCACTTTACTTCTTCCACTGCTGCGTGACGAAGAATATCAGCGCTGTAAGATCTTTCCTCGAGGTTGATCCGACTGATCTGGGCCTGCTGGAGTTGCAGAAAAGAGTCATAGATAAAGCCCTGAAGAGCGAGAAAGGCATGTTGGACCTGTTCTTGTGTTTCTTTCTGGGATTCTCTCTGGAGTCCAATCAGACGACGCTTCAGAGCGTGCTGCCGCAGACTAAGAGCGACTCGGAGACCGTCGCGGAGTTGAGGAAATATCTCAGAAGTTTCAATGCAGGAAACGTCCCACAAGAAAGGTGCATGAACCTTCTTCTCTGCAAGTACGAGCTCAAAGAGGAGAGATTTCAGGACGACATCAGGATGTTTCTGGAAACAGGAGCCGAACTCTCACCCATGGACTGTTGGGTACTGTCCACCATGCTGCAGATTTCAGGGGAACTGGTCGAGGAGCTTGATCTTACAAAATGCGTCACGCCATCATATGGAACGGAGAAACTGCTCATGAGGATTAATACGTGCAAAAAAGCTGTGTGAGTATTTCTCATCATCTTCATCACCAGTCTTTCTACTCATTTGGGTCCTGTCAACCATGTAGGGGTCTAAAAAGACAAAGATGGTGCTGCTCCATGTTTGCAGTAATTGTTTTTCTGAAGAACTCTAATTTGAATAATCACCTTTTAACGATCCAAGTAATGACAGATCGTGCTGATTGGTTTTTAAGGTACCCTGGAGGTGGTTTTGTCACTTTTTCGTTGGGTTCTTTCTTTAACCCCTCAGACCTGATTCAGCTGACCTGGGTCCTTGTCTGAACTCACAGCAGCTTTGTGAAATGGAGATGGGTGAAATGCTGACTCATGATTTGTTTCCGTCTTTTTGATCTACAGGCTCGGAAATCTGCATCTGAAGGAGAACTACCTCGATCTTCTCCTCTCCATCCTTCGGTCACCAGACTCGCACTTACGTGAGCTTCATCTGCTGTGTTCAGGGACCCTCGACGTTCCTGTTCCTCACATGATCCTCAAAGTACTGGGCGACCCGGTCTGTAAACTGCAGACACTGAGGTTAGTTGTACAGATGATTCTGGACTCTTCTACACGTTTTGAGTGAAAATATTTGGAATTGTTCTCGAAGATTTCCTCAGCGAGCAGGTGTCGTTTTTTTTGTCCTAGCTGCTGATTGGACGGAGACTCGTATGTCGTTTTTGTTCCTCATTTCTGAGCTCAAAAAAAAAAAATCTTTGCAAGAATTCAAGATTATATTTAGTGAAAAAATTTGAATCAAGCGAAAAACAAAGTAGATTAAGCCAACATTAAGGAAGTCCTGGTCGCCATTTTTACAACTAGGACTTCCTGTTTAGGGATATCCTGATAGGTGTATGTAGACCGAGTAACCCAGGGGTGATTTTACGGTCTTTAAACCCACTGACCACTGGCTGCGTTTACATGTGGTCATTAACCCTTTCATAACCAGAATGTTCGCAATAACCCGGTTGTGCACAGAGATGTAAACACCAATAACCCTTTTAAAAATCAGAATATGCTCATATTCCCGTTAGAAAAGGAGTGACCCTTTTCTAACCTGAATATTTTGTCATGTTTACACCAATCAGGACATTCCCGTCAAAAGGAACATTAATTTGTGTTCCACGCATGTTCTCTTCGCAAGGAACCTTTGTGTTCTTTTGAGTACAGCAGGTCCTAGACGATGTTCTTCGTGTGTTGAGATGTTGACCGTGTGTCGCTGTTTTAGTCGGGGTACCACGTAAACAGGAATAACCCTGTTTACTCACACGTGTAAACGGGTTATTCCAAATGTTTCAGAAACTGGAATATTGACCCCAACCCGAATATTGAATATTGAATATTGAATATTGACTGCATGTAAACGTCGCCACGATCTCTGAAACTCTATTTGACCGTCTCAAAGAGTCACTTCTCAGGGTTTTCAAAATAAAACAGATCAGATTTTATTTCATATCCTTTTCAAACCACTTTTTTATTTTAGTCGTTTGATCCCTTAAAGATGCAGGACAAACTCCAACACTTTAATTCACCCTCTATGACACAACGTCATTTCACTTTCATCGCACTTTCCCTTCATTATTATGGGATGTGTTGTTCAGGTTATCCGGGCTCACCTTGGATTTTGGACACTGTCACACACTGGCCTGCGTCCTGCAGTCGAAACAGTCTTCACTGAGAGCCCTGGACCTGACTAACTGTATGTACAGTTATCAACAGGATGAAAGCGGATATTACTCCAGACAGTTGGAGGAGAATAAGAAAGAGTTTAAGGATGAGCTGACTCTGCTGACCTTCATCCCTGCTGGCTTGATCGGTCCAGTCTGTAAACTGGAGAAATTCAGGTGACTTTCTTTGTTGTGAAGACACCTTCATAGATGTTCTTGTCATGATGCTTCATGGAAGTTTTTGTTTTCTTCTTCTTCTTGTTTTTACGCAGCATGTCCGGTTGCCGCCTGACAGATAAATGCTGTCAAGTGTTCGCCTCAGTTCTCAGCTCTAATTCGCAGCTGCGAGAGCTGGATCTGAGCCAGAACAACCTGCAGGATTTAGGGGTGCGTCTGCTCTCAGCTGGACTGAGGAGTTCAAAATGTAGACTGGAAAAACTGAGGTACTGTTTTATTTTATTAATGATAGAGTCTCATGTGGAGTCCCCCAGGGCTCTATTGTAGGTCCCCTCTTATTCAATGGTCACCTCCTGTTTGGTTGGCATGGTGTAAACTTTCACAGTGGAAACTCGAACATTTGCTCTGTGGCCTGTTAAAACTTGGTGCTGCTGATGTTTCTGGCCGAAATCATTATTACTGATATTTTCCTCAGAGATTCAGTCCAGGATGTCGGGTGATCTTTCTTGGATGTGTTTCAGTGAAGTGTATTTTTTCTTCTTTTTACTTCAGGCTGTCATTCTGTGGGATCACAGAAGAAGGATGTGTCTCTCTGGCCTCAGCGCTGAGGACCAACCCATCACACCTGAGAGAGCTGGACCTCAGTTACAATCACCCCGGAGAGGCAGGAGTGAAGCTGCTCTCTGAGAGGCTGCAGGACCCCGAGTGCAAACTGGAAAAACTCAAGTTAGTATCACAGAATATAAGATATGCAAAGTGACAAGGAGATAAAACAGCTTATTTGACTGAAAGGACTTATCAGTATTTTCTAAGCTGTATGAACATTTGTGTTTAAGTGTCCTCAAAATTATCTCCATAAACCGTCGTCTGAAGTTGCTGTCCATCACAGCTGCAGGTCAAAACTGCACCATGCAGAGACCGTCCTGTGGTCTGACAGTTCAACATGCAGGAAGTTTCTTTTTTCTTTGATTTTAAAACAAACAAAAAAACCTCGACTCAAACTCGACTCGTTTATACATGTCCTACTTTTACATGCAGTTCTTCTGAAGAGTTTTATCAACTCGAGGCTGAACCCATGAAGACTTTGGGACCAACACTGACGTCGATTTAGGAAAGGAGAAGCTGGTCGACCGCCACCATAGCTAGAGCCAGAACTGGAATAACATGCCATCCTGTCCAAGGTTATAAAAGTTAACTAAAAAGAAACTAAAAAGAAAACTAAAATTTAAGATACATTACAGTTAACTCAAACTAATGAAAACTAGAAAAGAAAACAAAACTGTATCTCGTCTTCACAAAACTAACTGAAAATAACTAAAATTATAGACAAAATGTTCTTCGTTATCGTTTTTGACAATATTTATTCGCCTTTAGGATTTAAAGTAATCAGACACAGTTTCCCAAACAATTTTACGACAGTTTTCGGCAGTTCTCAGCGCTGTACGGCATCGTCATAGCGACGTACTGGGACGTGCTTGTTTACTGTCTGACTGGCTGTGCGCTGTGCTGCGACGGAGCTTGAGTTGTTGGAACAACGAAGTCTGGAGGAGGCGGCAGTGTCCCGCCTCGCCTTTATGTTTATATTTTTTAAGTTTATATTATTTTCTTGTATTTAAGGCAGCAGCCAACAGTACAGTATCAGCATTGACTGAGCAGTGAGCACGATGTTGGACTTGAAAATAAACAGTATTACAAAATACTAACTCCGGCCTTTTTGAATCCTGCACCTGACAAATAAGGTAAAAAAACTAAAACTAAACTAAAATGAAGCTTCGTCACAAAAATCAAAACTACATCAAAACTAGAATGCCCACTTTAAAACTAACTAAAACTGAACTGTAATGAGAAATCCAAAACTGTTATAACCTTGATCCTGTCTTTGTTCAAAGGGTTCAGATTTGGCTCTGACATCAATTTGCAGCTTTTTTTAAAGGGGACCTGCCATACAAATGTAATTTTGTGTGTTTTTTTGTGTCATATAAGGTCCATATTATGTTCGTCTTATGTTGTAAATGTGAAAACAAACCGTTACGTCGTTTGCATTCTGTAAAGGTTTAAAATAAAGGAACGAGTAAACCAGGCCAATAGAAAAAGCCCGTCGGTGTTACGTTGCGCCGACGTTACTCATTATAATTCACGAGCGCGTCCTCGGTGAGCCACGCCCACTCTCTCGTTCTCGTACTCAGTCACAGCCAGAGTGAGACCCAGCTACCACTGTATCCTCTATGGGTCTCTTCCAAACGATCGGTGTTTCCTTCGGTTCACTGCCGGGAAAATGAACTTGAAGCTGGGCAGAATGAATGAGAAAACACCGCTGGAGATCTCCGGCTTCTTCCTCAACTTCCACCTCCTCTTCGGACTCGGGGTCTAAAATATATGGTTTAATACCTGCCGTTTTTAGCCTTTAGCATAAGGTGACCAGACGTCCCCGATTTCCGGGGACAGTCCCCGTATTGGATGACCTGTCCCCGGCAAAAGCTGTCCCCGGCAAAAGCTGTCCCCGAAAATGTCCCCGATTTAAGCGTTTCATGAATGAGAACAAAAATGTTGCGTGTGGGCTCGAACAACGGTTATTACAGTAGCCGAATAGGTAGGAAGCACAAGTAAGCAGTCCTGAAGAACAGTTCTTACGGGGTTATTACAAGGGGCATGCGCTGCTACTAAATAGTACCGAGACTTTGTCTGTGATCACACAGACCCTGCAGCCCCTGCAGCCCCTGCACCGCCGCCGCCGCCGCACTGAATATCCCCGATATCATTACAGACATCTGGGCACCTTACTTTAGCACACATTAGCATATGCTATTAGCATTAGCATAATAACAGTGGATAAACCGAAATCCGAACCGCCACTGCTGAGCCAATCAGAGCACAGCATTAGCATATGCATATTACCATAAATGTTAATGAGCCAAAACCAGTTGGTTTTCCTGTAAGGTTTTTTAGGCATACTAAAAACAAACCATCAAATAACTTTTCAGCTAAAATTATGTTGCAAACATGATCAGAGGACATCAAGGATTATGAAAAAATGATAAAAATGGGGATGAAATTTTGGTGGCAGGTCCCCTTGAAGTAACCGTTTTAAAAATGGAAGAGTTTAAGTGAAGGTTTACGTGATTAAAAGATTTCATCAAAGGTTTCAAAACTGAAGACAGACCTGAGTGATCCATGCAGATTATGTTTGGATTATCCCTGAACGCTTTACTTCGCAGTTCAGGTTTTTTGGAAAAACAAAGTGCACAATGTCTGACTGCACACTTCTTTACGCCGTTATTATTCGATCAAAAACTGTATTTTGTGAAGATTTGAGCACATCTATGGCTGCTCATTGATCTTATTGAAAGTTTGTTTTCTTCTGCCTCAGCATTGAGCAGAATGAAGAGTTCTGGACCAACCCGCAGCTCCTGAACAAGTGTAAGTGAAGTCTGAATGTCTACTCCTCCCCGCCGTGTAAATTAATTCCACCTAAAGTCAAACTCTTCCTCGTCTCTCGCTCAGATGTCTGTGATCTCACGCTCGACCCCAACACAGTGGGTAAAAACCTCCTCCTGTCTGAGAACCAGAAGAAGGTGGTTTCTACTTCAGAGGAGCAGCCGTATCCTGATCACCCAGAGAGGTTTGATGATGCGGTGCTGGTCATGTGTAGGGAGGGTCTAACTGGACGCTGCTACTGGGAGGTCGAGTGGGCGGGGTGTGTGACTATCGGCGTGGCATACAAGACCCTGAAGAGGAAAGGACACCTGACTTTAGACACCCTGTTCAACAAGTCCTGGATGAGCATCAGCACCGGGTCGGGCAGTTACTCTTTCATTCACGGGCGGAGCCAAACTTACACTCCTGTCCCCGTCATCGACCTGAAAGCAAACCTGGCGAGACAGAAGAGACTGGGTCTGTTTCTGGACTGGTCTGCTGGGAGTCTCTCCTTTTACTCTCTGTTTGGAGACAAAAAAACGCACCTTCATACGTTCTACACCACCTTCACTGAGCCTCTGTACCCGCTCTTCTCTGTCCTCGGGTCTTCTTATGTGACCGTCTCCACCGCAGAGACACCAGGGACGGATGATGTGAGTGTTTCTGGACGTCTCATAACCTTTCTCTAACCCTCTTCCTTCACACAGACACTCTCCAACCACCTACACAGAGAACCAACTCGTTTAACGTGATCCTAAATCAGTTTACAGCGAGCAGTAAAACCCTACAACGACGTGTATTTGTATTTATTAATTTATCACAGATTAAAAACAGTCAAATGAAGCTGATAGGCGTGTACAAGGTTCCTCTCCCGTCAGGACAGAGAACGACAGAGTAATAAGGACATAGACAGGTTATAAATGTACAATGATAAGGGAGCGGTCAACAGATAAAAATTTAACGATATTTTAAAGGTGTTAGAGGATGATCTTGATTTTAGAGATTCTGTCCTCTGAAGTGATGTTAGACTGATGACTAGAAGTTGGACAGGAAGTAACTGAAGATGGTCGTTTTGTCGTGTTGAGTTCGGGTGAAGGTCGGATGAAAAGGTAAAAAAGTTTCGGAAAGTTTCAGGAGGGTCTCGTTTCTTCTTGATGAACTTGTGGACAAACAAACGAGTGTGAGAGACACTGAGTTTGTCAAAAAGAGAGGTTTCGAAAAATGACAGAAAATACAGATTTAAAAAAAGGTTTAATAAACAAAAACTTACGTTACAAGAGAGTCCAACAGCCACGGCTAAATAAAGCCGCCACACCTCAACAATAAGGATTTTATACGCATTACCTCAGACTCAGGATATGTCAGGATATGTGGAGCACAGGGGCTGCACCGCAAATCACAAATCACACATCCCCACAGATTCATTCCCCACCAGTGGGAAACACCGAACTGTCCAAAAATGCTAAAAGAATCTAGTCATAGTCTTGTAAATAGTGACCCAGCAGGATTCTCAGTCTGAGACTAAAGACTCTGAACACTGGTCTTTAGATGTGAGAAGGAGTGAGCTGAGAGTTTTCCAGGAGGCTTTTCCAAATCTTCTCCAAGTCCTCTGGTGGACAGTTGGCCTAAACCAGACACACAAGGAGCACTAGAAACCAAACCGAGAAGAACACAACAGGAGAACAAGAGGAAACAGAAACATGAAGAACAGAAACAACTACATAACAGAAGCAGGAAGAACTCCAACAACAAGAACCGATCATGTCGCTGTAAAGTGGAAAAGTGGAGCTGACGGGGATGCCGGTTGGCCGAGCAGCTGAGGGGTGTAGTCTCTGTTGCAGCAGTCGCAGGTTCAACTCCCCGCCACAATCCTTCGATAGCTTCCCCTCTACTCGTCGTATTTAATAAAAATGAATAATAATGAAAAATATTCCAAAATTGAGGCCAATACAGGAAACATTTGACTAACGCAGGTCGCATCAAACGGACGATTAAAGAACTGCTGATTTTATATTTTAACACACGACAGTTTTCGTCACCACAGACTGACATCATCTCTTTATAAAACAGAGTAAAAGATGTTTTTTAACGCATTTAGATTATGAACAATACTATGTTTTAAAATCCGGAAAAAGTCAAAGTTGTTTTTTATGTCAGAACTCAGATTTTAATGGAGGAGTGGAGCTGGAGTGAGACGGTTCCTCTTTGAGTTGGTTTCACTGTAAAAACAAAAAGTTAATTTTGTTTGTTTTTTATTTTTGCAGAACAAGTTTATCTTCACTCCGAGGATCATGAAGGAAAGACTCGGCATTTCATACAGGTGAGAAAAACTGTAGCTGTGAGATAAAGATGGTTTGATGAAAGGACCACTTCTGTAAAGACGAGAACTTCCTCTGTAAGTGTTACGATCGTCTGCAGACAAATCAGCACTTTACCGGTGAAACTCTTTAAAAAACAAACAAAAAAGGGTAAAAACAAGATAATGATTGAGGAGTATGTGGAGCTCTTCTTTATTTGACAGATCAAAATGTTCAGAATAAATCAATCACACTTGTGTGTCTCGCAGGTTCACGTTTCCTTGTCGAGGTGTGTTCGAGTGCTCTTTGACGAAGCTGGTGTTCAAAGTGACCAAGAAAGGGGAGGTCACCTACAAGACCCTGATCTGGAACGACACGCTCCTGGAACACGCTCGCAAAGTTCCCGCAGGACCGCAGTTCAGCTTCGGGTTTCCTGAGGACTCGGTCTGTCAGCTGCACCTCCCCCACTGTGAGACTGAACCCGGTAAGAACTCTGATGAACGTCCACGTTGTCTCTGTTGTATTTGTGGAGGTGAAGCTGAACTTCAGACTCGTGGATTTTTCCAGGTCTGCCCTCAGAGGGCGTCTCTGTCGTCAACATCACCGACGACGGCATGAGCGTCATTCAGCCGCTGCAGATAACTGAAACTCACGTTGTCGTGGAAACCCCTCACTCGTCGATTTTTGGCCTCGTCAAGAATATCACCCCCACGCCAGTCCTCGGTAAAGTCGTGCTGTTCCTGCGACCGGCGTACAGAAGAGGGATGTTCATCCTCAGCGTCATTCTGCTGCCGAGGAACGTCCCTCTGCCGGAGGTAAAAACATCCTCCTGATCACCGAACTGTCCCCGCTGTTGGATATTTCACCCTTGTTTGAACGATATCCATGTCTGCTGTCTTGATTGTCAAAGGTTATAGAGCTGTATGACAACTGCGAGTACATCGAAGCGCCGTCCGACTGTCTCCTGCTCAAATACCGAGACTACAGCCTCCACAGCGACCCGGAGGACTACACCATCCAGCCTGAAGTGAGTACCAGGAACCATTTCTGCAGCCGGAGAAGACGAGGCTGGAAACTATCCTAAGAAATGTTTGTATTTCGTTTCTAGAGGGCCGAGTTCTATGAAAACTACGGACCGAATTACCACGCCTCGTTTGAGATCAACCTGACCAGGGGCACAGAGGAAGTCACCCTGATGGTGCGAGCTCAGAAGAAAACGGTAGCGTGGAGCCACTGCCTCCGTCTGTCAGGTAAATACTCAGTCTTTAAGGTTTTACATATTATCGTCATCAGACCTGGAGTTACTCAGCAGACACTCAACGCACTTTTGAGTTTTCAGCCAAGATGACCGAACGTAGTGAAGGTTTTCTTTCTTCACCCTCAAAGTTTTACAACCAGGAGAAAAATCCTCCGAAGGAAACTATCTGAGAAAGTTTTGACTAAAACTAGAAGAAAATTGACTCAAATGAAAACAGAGGATGAAGTCTAAACTGTGACTCTGATCAACCACAGTTTTCGATCTTCTCTCGAACCCTGAGCCACGTCTCATGACAGGTTCTGTGTCAGGGTTCAAATATGTGATCTCATCTTGAATCAACACGTTGAAAACAAAAGAGTTTCCTGACGATAATCGAGTATCTCAGAGGGTCAAAAACTCCTTCAGTCAACGTTCTTCATGTCTTTTCATTTCTGTCTGTCCTCCGTTGAAACACGCCCGCTGACTGTCGCGTCTCGTTTTCTCCAGCTTTATCTTCAGGTGAAAACGCGACAACAGAGGAGAAGCTACTGAGGGCTCGGACCAAGTTTATCGAGCGCGTGTCTGATCCGGTCCTCGATGAGCTGATGGTTGAACTGGTGAAGTTCAGAGTGGTAAGTGACGCAGAGGTCAAGGAAGCCAGGGTCAAACAGCGAGCGGACAAAGCACGAGACGTGATCGACATGGTGCGGAGGAAAGGCAACGAGGCGAGTCAGGTGATGATCAACATCCTCTCCAGCTGTGATCCTTTCCTTTGTGAAACGCTCCGCTTCACATGAGGGGATGACAGAGAGCGGGCGAACTTTTCACCACGTCATCAAGATGAAAATACAAGAAGATGATGATGATGATGAAGTGAAGAAACCAGATGTTGTGGAAGAGAAGTGACCAAACTGCATTTTTCAATCAACCGTTAATGGAGTTTTTATGAACATAGAACCAGATCGTAATTAATGTCGTCACAGGACGACCAGGAGGGGAGGGACTGCAGTTCCTCAAAAGTCCACTTGGGGCACCAAAGCCAAGATACTCCATCACAACCCCGTGTTCAAATACCAGTTTTTATGGCAGAAATGAACACGCCTACAGGCTGGTGAGAGAAATATTTTTAGGTACATATCTCGTTCTTTTATTTTCTCACATTTCAGAGGAGAATAATTTTTTATAGTCCATAACGGTCCGAGAGTTACACATAAATAAGATAATAAAAGACACGAGAACTTGAACTGGAAGTGGAAAAGACGAAACTAGACTGAAGATATTCTGACAAACATAGTTTCACAGTTTTCATTTACCGGTGTTTCACAACATGTTCAGAGCAGCACAGTCATCGTGTTAACTGTGGTGTGTTTTTATGGACCAGTTAGTCAGTAAACTGTGTTTTCTAAAGGGGAACTCACAAATATCTGGTAGTTCCTGGATGGATGTAAAATTAAACACTAAAGAAGATGAAAAGTTTTCTCATCCACATGTGAGTCTAAAGACAAAGACAAAGAAAAGTTTAGTTATTAATCCTTTAGAGGTTTAGATCTAAAATGTCGAATCTGAACTGAAGGCACTGAAATTTAAAGTTTAACTGACCAGCGACCTGAGCGCAACTAAAGTTTATTTTTTACAAAGAAAGAAATCAAACAAACTTAAAAACAGTGATGAGAACAAATATTAAACTACACAATTTCCCCAATTCTCTGAAACTGCAAAAACACGAGAATCATCGTAGAAACTTCAACAATCTTCAAAGACAATAAATCCAACAGATGTCTGTGTGCTGTCAGCCTGTGTTCTAGAGTCTGTTCTCTATGAGGGACCGTGCTGCTGCTTTGTTTGATGTTTTATTTTATAATTTTATACTTTTAAAGATGTTTGAATAAATGAATGAAATACAAAAAATTAAATAAACTTGATTAATTAAACTAGACTGTGTGTCTGACTGATAAATGCTCTTTGTTCAGCCGATAATGTTCGACTTCAGTCCTGCTGCTTCTGCACGCGCTCAAACCAGGGTGATAAAAATATGAAATATTTAAATGAGCTGTTTAACTTCTCTATTATGAAACACTTCTTTGAAAAAGACATTTCCAATGAAACAGAAAGAATTTAGTGCAGCAGACAGAGGATGTCTTTATGATTATATGAGTTTGACCTCGTGGTTTTGAAAATGTTAACTAACTGAAGGTTCGGCTTTTCCCTTTGGAGTTTGTAATTTCTTTAAAATAACAGAGTTTTGTTCGAGGTTGATTCATTTTTTAAAACATGATACTTTTTAAAAAACACAGCCTGAAGCTTTATTTTATTGACGTTGTGCAAATTTAGTAAAGACTGTGAAATTAAAACTATTGAATAAGGAAAATATCATTAATATTTCTGAAGCTACAGTTGGATTTATGGAATTTATGGAAATGCTTAAAAACCGCCGTGAGCGTAACAAATAAAAATGAGATAAAAAGAAATTTAAAAAAGGCTGTTCTGCAAAAGTGTAATAATCACAAACAACACAAGAGGGAGCTGTTGCACTCCCTCTTGTTCATTAAAGTGCAGGTTCACAAACTTACTAAGTGCAAAACAGTAAAACAGTTTCTTTCAGTTTTCCACTTTTTAAAAAACTAAAGTCTTTTTTTCTGGACTTAACAGTGAGAGGTCTATGATATTTTTATCATACTATACTATGACATTTTTTCCAAAATTAACTTTGACATTTTTCTTATACTTAACTATGGTTTTTTATCATACTATATATTTTTATCGTACTATACTGTGATATTTTGATCATACTGTACTATGACATATCTTAACATACATTTTTATTGTACTATACTGTAACATTTTATCGTACTTTACAATGATTTTTTTTAACATACTATAATATGACATTTTTATTATACTTAACTTTGGTTTTAAAAACATACTATACTGTGATATTTCTACTATACTATGACATTTTTATTATACTATACTATATATTTTTATTCTATGATAATTTTATGTAACTTTACTGTAAAATGCTTTTTCATACCATTGTATATATAATTCTACCATATTACAATATTTTACTGTACCATACTATGACATTTTATTATACTAAACGATGGTTTTAAAAACAAACTATACTGTGATAATTTTATCATACAATAATATGACATATTCAATCATACTATACCATCACATTTACCGTACTATACTATGACATTTTTATCATACTATACTATGACATCTTATCGTACTATACTATATCAATAATTCACGGTAAGGTAAAAATATATATATATTTTTTATATACCATATTATGATATTTTTATCATCTTTAAAATGTTCTTGTTCACTGCTTTGTTCAAATATGAAGCACCCATGAAAATTCCTCATTGACGGACACACAGGACTTTCTCCTTCGTGGGTTTGACGCCACCTTTCTTCTTTATTCAAGGATCCAGCAATCTTTATTCTTCAGTTCCATCTTGTTTCAACAGCATAAATAAAGAGCAAAGAATAGACATGCATCAGATCAGTGTCATACAAACCCCCGGACGCACAACAAGAAACTCTTACTGCCCAGAAGTTCAAGTCAAAAGAGGAGATGAAAACAACCCGTGGGAAAAAAAATAAATGTTTTTTTGTAAACATCAAATTAAAGCTAAAGGAGAACAACTGTCAATCAAGTGCTGCAAGAAGAAGTGAGTTCATCACTTTGGTTAAAATCTGAAAACTTCAGTTTGAGGGTTTCATCAGCTTCTACATCCTGGGGTCTGCTGAAAAAAAACCTGTTATAAAATTCAGACATTAAATTTATTTGAGTTTCACCCTGCAGTCCTTCAGTTTCCTGTGTGACAGCGAGGCATTAAAACACTGAGACCTGCAGCTGTGCAGGGGTCAAAGGTCACACCTCCTGAACTCTGAGGATCTGAGGTCAGAGCGGAGGACCACGCTGCAGAAAACTAATCATGACTTTTCTTCTTTTTAAACTTCAGTGACCCCGGCTGTCTTAAAAGACTCGAGTCGACACAGCTGATGGTGTAAAAGCGTGTGAGATCTGGACTTTTGGACTTTGGGACGTCTGTCTCACCTCCAAAACAACAGAGGTCAAAGAAAGACCATCAGCAGCGTCCTGGAGGTTCAGTGCTGCGACTCTGTGACCTGATCCCAAACCGCCCCGACACACTCGCCCGTCACTACCGAGTGTCACTCGTTATGAAGTTTCACTCGCAGCTGTGGAGCGCGACTGAATCGACTCAATTCCTCACTCCACCGGAAAATGGAAAGATTCATCGCCATAGCAACACAAAGACGCGTCCTGTGCACGGCAGCGTTTATCTTCTTAGTAATAAATCCAGGAAGCATCACGGTGAGAGGAGCGAAATTAAACTTCTGATTGTTAGTGATTCCACGTCTTTGAACTCCTTTACTGTTGGACATGTTTCTGACCAATCAAATCAAACCTCAGCTCCTACTTCCGTTTGTTCTTTCCAAACATCGTCAAGACAAATGTGGACACAAACCGAACTTAGATTTTTATGCTGTTTCCTCCTCCTCCATTTTTGATGGCGCACTAACTCTAAATCCCGTCATGAGTGAGCACCGGTGCAGACGGAGGGCGAGTGTTTAGGGGGCGGTTTGGGATTGGGCCGGTATCATCCAAAGACCTCAGAGTGATTTAAACCTGCAGATTATTCAGGACTGAGACTTGAGCAGGTAAATGCATGATTCTGATTGGTCAGTGCTTGAATCAAAAACGGAGATCCAGAAATTAAAAACAGATTAAATTAGACGAGAGTCAAAACGTTCAACAGTTCCTGTAATCTGAGTCACATTTGGGATTCTGGGTCACTGGAGCGAAAGTGCAGCTCGGCTCCAGTGTGAGCGCTAATCTAAAGTGCACATGTTGGATCGTACTGACGGGGCTGAAAACAATGAGATATAATTAAGAAAACAAAATAAATAATTCTCATTACAGACACGAGCGTTTCCTTCTCACCATCCAAAGCTCTGATTGGTTCCCCAGAACGTCGTCTCTCTTCTGAACGTCCAACAGTTTGTTCAATATTTACAAAAACAAACTATTTACACCCGATAAGCAGACGGATACAGAATAAGGAGAAAAAGAGGGTTTGTACACACGGGGGTGGAGCAGCAGAGACTCTGACCATCAATAAATAAAGTCCCGCCTCTCCTGGGGAGGGATGGCGTGAAAGTTCAGCTGCTCCACCGAGATGAGGCGGAGTGTGTGAGATGGCAGAGCCGAGCTGTGTGGGTTCACATTCTGGAGTTCGATTCCTCCGCGGTACAAAAGTCGACATTCGTACAGAGGCGTGGAGAGCAGACGGAGGTCATGCTGTCAGACAGGTTTAGAAAACGGAGGATCACTACGGCGTTTCACTGCAAATGCTCTGAGAGTCGGCGGTTACATTCTCAGTTCCTCTCGTCTTTAAAAAGGGTTTGGAAAAAGTCCCGAGTGTGCAGGTTCTCCATCCACCTCAGGGGTGACCGTCTACTGTGCTTCAAACCACAGAGAACTGCGTACTGGCCGGGTAGAGCTCGCTGATTAATTAGGCGACTTCTCCTGGCGTCACATTCCTTTGATGTCGCCGTGGGTTACCGATTCTGTCTGTCACACACGCCCAGGAGGAGTCCGTGTGAGGGGAGCAGGTCTGGCAGCTGGAGAGGAGTCGTGGAGCGTCACCTCCAGTTTGATTGCTTAGCTTTGTGCTGTCGCTGGGTTTCACATTCATATTTCATGACCCGTCTGTGTGTGTGTGTGTGTGTGTGTATGTGTGTGTTTGTGTGCACACACACATCTCGCCGTCCTGCTGTCCTTCCCCTCCAGTACTCTGCGTGTGTTGTGCGCGTCATGAAGGAGGTCAGCAGGAGGAGGCGCTGATCTTCTCTGAGACTTCAGGGTCAGACTTGGCCACCAGGAAACGAAGGCGGCCTCCTCCGAGTCGAATCAGATCCACCGCACTGCGAGGAGGAGGAGGAGGAGGAAGAGGAGAGAGAGGGAGAGTTGGGTTACATGAAGCTCAGCAGAGACAGAGTGAGGATGAAGACGCGTCACTGTCTGAGCTCGCTCCGATCAATCAAAGTAATCAATTGGTTTTCGAGGCTGACAGCCAGGAGGATGGTTAACATCGTGGGACGACTGCTCACTCTGTAATCAACGTCACTATCGTCCAATAGCATCATTAATCTCCCTCCCGTCTCTTGTTACGCTCTCAAATATCGCCAGTACCTCTGGTAGTCCGCTCCGATCAGGCTGGTCCCGTTCACGGCCAAGATGCGGTCTCCGATCCTCAGCCTGCCGTCAGAGGCAGCAGGTCCGTCGGGGATCAGAGTCCGGATGTAGATCCCCGGAGCGTTGAGAGGAGTGTGCTGCAAGAGTGAGGGAGAAACCATCACTAGAACACCTGCAGGTCCACCTGAGATGATCTGACAACAGTTTGAACCCGGATCCACAGGAAATATTCAGGTGAGATTAAAACTCAGGACTTCTCAAAGTTATCTTCACTTCCTTTTTTCACCCCTAAAAGTAATCAATCATTTAGTTCAACCTCATTGGTCCAATAAGAACAGATCCCTGTGTGATCAATCGTCTCCTTTGTTTAATGTCATTATGAAAGAGAGCAGGTCACCACTTCTGCTGCTTCTGTCTGAAATGACTTCATAGCCTTAGATTCAGTAATGACTCTTACCTTTTTTCTCCACTTCTGTAGTCTGTAAGCTGAGCCAATAAACTTCTACTGTATTAAATGAAAAGGTCAAGGTGTTTTTATTGAGCCGAATTATCAATAAAATCATGATTTTGTTAACAGGTATGGATATATGTGCTGTTGAGTTAATATATTTGAACAAGAGCACAGTAAAGTTAAATCAGCTAATTTTCCAATGAGGTTCTGTTAATGAACGGAACTGCACCATGTTCTACTGAGTTTAGTAAATATAGGGTCACAGCCATAGTACTAGACACCAAACATCTTTTTAACTTTAGCAAAGAGACTAAACACAACTCACCTACTCTCTTCCAGCAGACGCTTGTCTGTGGGGGTCGATCACCGAGTGCAGCGGATCATTTCCTTGAAGTAATAATTATCAGAATTATCATTTTTACTGCAGACGCGGTAGTTCTTCCGTCTTAGTGTCTCGGTCTGATTGTATTTCCATGAAGAAATAATCATAAATGTTCTTCCTTGAGCTGCGAAACTCTGCTGCACTCGGTGATCGACTCGTCAGGGCTCTCTCACAAACAAGCGGCTGCTGGAAGAGAGTAGGTGAGTTGTGTTTAGTCTCTTTGCTAAAGAAATGAGTCAAAGTTAAAAAGATGTTTGGTGTCTAGTACTATGGCTGTGACCCTATATGTAATAACCTGAGTAGAACATGGTGTAGTTCCATTCAGTAACAGAACCTCATTGGATAATTAGCTGATTTAACTTTACTGTGCTCTTGTTCAAATATACTAACTCGACAGCACATATATCCATACCTGTTAACAAAATCATGATTTTATTGATAATTCGGCTCAATAAAAACACCTTTACCTTTTCATTTTACTACAGTAGAAGTTTATTGGCCCAGCTTATAGACTACAGAGGTGGAGAAAAAAAGCTGTTCTGAGCATTATTTGTGGCTATAGAGTGGCGTTTTGGTTGGGGGCGTGGCTCTCTGTATTACTATCCTGCGGTCGTTACTAAAGTTGGTATAACTAGAGAAGCAAGCGGTCGGTGTCTAACTCGGTGTTTCAGTGTGTTTGACCATAACTTAACTTTACATCCCTTTAAGGTTGTGTGTTTACAGAGTTCAGAGCTCTGGGATCAGATCTGTGTCTCTTTAGTTTGAACACTCTCAGCTTATAGAAATAAAACATATGACCACGCTCACAGGAAAGGTCAAATGTTGGACTTGAATCCACTCACCAGGCCGTCTATGAGTCCCATTCCCAGTCCGTAGGGTCCTTTGTCCAGTTCCACTACAAACACCACACACAAGTCATCAGGGAGGGGAGGGGCTCCGGGGGAGGAGACAGGGAAAGGAAACTCACACCCACTAATACACCCTGCAGAGGACACGGACACCAACCCCACAGAAGAACAGACACACACACAGACACACACACAGACAAACACACACAGGGTCTCGCTATGGGGCTGGACACACACAGAAACTGAGACACATGCAAAGGTGGGACACAAACGTGATCCTGACACGAGGCTGCAGATGTCAGACTCACTTCACTACGAGGACTACTGTCATACTAGATCTAGATCTATTAGACCCGGCTGCTCAAAGTGCAAATCCAGAGTTCTGGTCCAAACCCCAAAAACAACCAGAGAACCCAAAAATCTCTGTGTTTACTGCGGTTAGGAATGAGAGTGTTGGGAGCGCTGGGGTCGAAAAACACGATCTGATTTCTGCAGCTGCGATCTGATCAGATAGAGACGATCGAAAATGACAGACGGAGGAAACAACACGAGGTTTGGACTCTGAAGGATTTAGGTGAATTAGGGCTGAACGAACAACCGATTTTATATCGTAGTCAGATTATTTAATTATGACCATGTAAAAAAATTAAAATCGATTTTCCTCTCTATCGTGTGTAAACAAACGTGGCGTTTGCTAAAGAAGGCGATAATTTGGTGGTTAAATAGGACAAGAGCGAGTCAGTCGTGTTGAATTGGTACGACTTCACAGTTTCAGATGAAGAGTAAACCACTCCCCGCTGTAAAGTCTGTCTGAAGGCGGTATCAACCCGTCACCACGGAAACTAATCCAGGAGGAAACGCTAAAGTTTTTCGTCGTATCGGCGTTTCAAACGACGACCATTTCAGCTCCGTGTGGATGTCTATCTGCATCTCTGGAAACGA